CTTTGGACCAAAGTTTCATGTGGCAACAGAGCTTGAAATTGATGATCGGACCACTGTTAGCAAGGAATTGTTAGTGGGGCTTACTATTTGGATGCTTTTATGCTTGGGGTTTGTGGTTAGGGGGTTTTTTTAGTCGGGGTACTGCAAGGATAAGCCAGCTTCTGGTTATTTACAAGGATATGAAGCCTAGTTTCAACTCTGACAATGTTCCGGGGAGGATATTTTTGATAGAGAAGAAGAAAATAGGATTAGCATAATAGGTGAATTGCCTTTAGATTTTGTAAATTTTTTAATTTTTTTGGGAGAAGATGATATTCATATTCTTGTTGATTGAGGTTAGATTTAACTTCAGGTTAGAGGTGTAGGAGTACGATGACCTTTCATAGTATGTAGTGAGGTCAAGCTTGTATCCGTGACTGTGGAGTAATGGGAAAATAAGAAAGGGAATCATCGAGAGGCATGAGCTGATTTTGGGTTTTTTTAATTTCATGAGTGTGCAAATGAATTTATTTTAACCATAAAAAATTCTTAGACTTTTTTATTTATACGGACAATTATTATAAACTATCTCTAAATAAAGTTATAAAGATGCTTTTCTTTAAATGTCTTTTTAATTGTCTTAGTAAGCGTTTTTTTTTTGTTGCAGTGCGAAAATGTTGGAGTAGCTCCAGTGGAAGATAAGATTAGAGAGAGTTGCCTTAGATGGTTTGGCCACATAAAATGGCGGCCTTTCGATGACCTGGTTAGGAAAGTAGATATATTAGATTTGGCTTATGTTAAGAAGGGTAGAGGTAGACCTAAAAAGACTTGGTTAGAAAATATTAGAAATTTTCTTTCTTTATTAAATTTTAATGAGAATTTGACTCTTAAGAAGACAGTGGAAAAATGATTCATGTAATTAGTGGGATAAAAACTTGATGTTGTTGTTTTAGTAGTGTGAAACTAGAAAATTCTGAATTTGATGTAAGCTTGATTCCTTTGAATTAGTCTCACTGCCACACATATCAAAGCATATATTCCATCGTCCTTCATGGTATGGTTCATAAGTTTTGAGTCTCTTCTAGTTTCCCCAGTAGCTAACTTCTTTGTTATTGAAAATTGATATTAAAATACATATGAAGTCATTTTGTATTATCTTAGACTTTAGGATTTCTTTAAAAAAAAAAGTTTTGACAAAACCATTATATTATTTTTCATAACTTCAAATCTCAATAAATATTTCATTTTACAGAAAGCTTTATCATTTTGCATCTTCAAAGCCAAAGCAACTTTTTATATATGGATCAATGTATTGTAAATTTTGTGATTCTTTTTTCTTTGCTCATCTAAAGATACATTTCGTTTAAAGTTCTCTTTAATACAAAAATAAAATGCTTATTGTTCATTGATATTTTCATTTTTAATTAAGATTTTTTTTTATCTTCATTCTTATTGCTTCAAATTCGATTAAAATCTTCATATTTCTTTTTTATTTATTTTTGTCATTATGTGTTTATTTATTTATAACTTATAAATGTATCTATTTGCTCTTTTTTGATACCTAGCTTATTGTATGATCTGTTAGAAGCTATAGACTTGACTTTGCCAAACACCATCTTTACAAAACATCTAGCTTTATTGTACTTATTCTATGTCTCAATCTTATTTAACTTAACATTTTTTGAAAGCGCATCTTTTTATTTTAATGATTTCTCAACCGGGTTGTTACAATATCTCTTCATTCTTGATCCTTTTCTAGATTCTCCTAGAAATTCTATTGCAAACTGTTAATTCAACTAAACATTTAACGTATATCAAATATGACTTAACTTCAAAATTCTATTTTACTTTTTTTGAAAATTTATCTAAGAAAATTGATACCTTCTCATTACAATCGGGTTAGTCACATGTTATATGTTTAATATTTTAGTCCACCATTTCCTTGTCACTACAATCAGGTTAATTTGTAGAGCCTTGTTCTAAGGAATACCCTAGCTTTAACGAAAAATGTCTTGAAATTCATTTGATGGATTATTTGCAAGGTTTTATTTATTGTTCGTATAACATCAACCCTCATTCTTACCCATTTTATAATTTGGCTTTTGTCATTATCACATTGTATTAATTAAGTAATTTTCCATTTTATCATTCAATTTTCGTTGTACAAGTTATTTCCTTTATCTATCTCTTTTTTGGGGAGTAAATCTAAATTACCTAAATATATAAGCTCTTGTTTTCACTTGATTCTCCAAGAGTTAATTATTAAGTTCTTATTCACTTAATTTGCATATCATGAAATTAGTTATGGCGGATTAATATTAATCTCTTACCTCCTATATTTTTTCCATGTACTTTAGAAGAATTTTCACCCATTTGCAGAATGGTATTTGCATAAAGCATAAACCAAGATTATGTAATTTTGAATATCTTTTTAACCATCTTTATAACATATTGACAACCTTTTTAGGGGTCTCAAACCTCTGACTTAACCTTTTTAAGTACCTTGTTTGAGCTATGTGCTCACAACCAACATAAAACTTTAGCTATTGTGAAAATTTTTAAAAATTAATTTTATTAATTTTACTGTAATTGAAAAGTTCGTGGTCACCTCTCAGCTACTTCTACTACTTGTTATTGCTACATTATACATACATTTAATAAATTCTATGTTCGTCTAACACACCTTTTCTTCTTAATGCTTTTCATATTATTTATTGCAGTATTGAATAATAAGCATTTCCAAAATAAAAAATAGGATGTTCTAAAATCTCTTAAATACTTTCTAAATTTTTATTTATCTTAGCATAAAATTGGACTTCGTAGTATACTGTGAAAGTGGGAGATGCGTCAAGAGGGGGGTGAATTTGAAATTTTCATAGTAAAATAACAATCATAAACAGAAGTTCTAATTTTTTTTTTGTTTTTAAATTTTAAATAAAAATTTAACTTGATGCGGAAGCGAATGATTAAAACATGATTGCACGTAAGCAGTGAAATTTCAATCACATAACAAAAGATCTTGAGTAGACTTTTTCACTAAGCAGTTATAACAAATGTAAATTGCAGAACATAAGTAAAGTGCAGTAAACGGAAAAATAACACCAGAAAATTTATAGTGGTTCGGTCACTTGACCTACGTCCACTCCTCGGAGTCCTCCACTCCGAGAATTTCACTGCTCAAAAGTAATTCTCTTTTTGCCCCCACAGCTTGACAGAGAAGCCTTTATAAATCCTCACTTTCACCTTCCCCGGTGTGGCAGAGTACCAAGCGCTATGTCACCCTCCCGGTGATGGCAGTGAACCTTCTTGTTTTTCTCCCTTCTGAAGAAGGCAGAGTACCTTAGAGAACACAGACCTTGAAGGATCTCCCCGTTAGAAAGCTTCCCACAAGATCTTCTCGTGCCGCAAGAGGAGCAAGAGTGCAACAGGCTAGGAGCAACCGTGTGATCTCCCTCACACTCCTCCCTTACAAACTCACCTTCTCATTTCTCTTACAAACCCAAACTCTTTTCAAGTAGCTCTCTCAAGGAACCCTCTTCTTGTCACGTTCTTTTCTCTTCTCATATTTCAAAAGACAGAAGTTTCATATATAAATCAGGCTCCAATAAATGCTAAATTTTCAATATAACTGTTTCTGTTCGTACAGTATGATCCAAGATTGTACATTACGATCAGTTCAAAACAGCCTTCATCCTGGTACGGACTACAAATAGACAATTTTTTTAAACAACATCATATAGTTCAATACAACATCGTCCAATACGATATGTTATTTTCTTATGTTGATCAATTTTACATACACTTTGTGGCCAGACTCAAGAAAAACAAAAACAAAATAATAGATGAAAATTACAGCGTTACAGACTTCACATTCTACTCTACTCAATCTTGAGTAATATGCGATCTCCCTGAAATGTTAGTACTCATAGACAAGAACAAAATTCAAAATATTCAATGAATAATGAAGTAATTTAATTCGACATTATTTGTCATCATCAAAATCTCAGGATCGGGGTCATGGACTGCAACAATCTCTCCCTTTTTTATGATGTCAAATAATGTTTTCGACAAGCAAGTTAGCATAATTTTTTGTTTTTTTTTTTGGAAACATAAGAGCATAATAAAAGCACGAACATTTAGTGCACCCCAAGTTCCCACCATTTTGCCCAGTTATCACCATATACAGTTGAAAATATTTTTTGAGATCAACTAAAAAGGCATCTGCATTGTAATCCCCTGGATCTTACAATGGTCAATTTTGCTATATTGAACATTTTTTTAGTTCAAAGTTGTCGTCCCCTGAACTAGGGCGGGCTTGCCAAAACTGTGAGGGTTGTGGTGCAAGACTTTGCTAAAGACAGTTTTTGATAGAATGGTGCATATCTGAGCTTAAATAGCAAAGCATTGGCCGTTAGTTGAACCTGTTGGAGATGGGAAAACCAGTTCGGGAAAAACTAATTGGCATTTGCTTACATAAAACCATTGGATGCTTCTTATTTCTAGTAAAGTCTGCAGGATGCGTTTGGCAAGAATATTTTTCATATTACATTTTTTATGTGAGTTTGGTAGCCGGCCTTGTCTAACTGAAACATAAAATCGTTCACATCCTCGTGGCTTCTCTTCCTTTCATTTTAAATTATATCTTGTTTTGACATTTGAGCTTACCTGTTTCATTGGCATACATGGTTACAATTGTGATAATATTTCCTGTTGTGTTGTGTTGTAACGGTTTATTCTAAACGCTGGAAATTTTTGTCATTGTTATATTTATTCTGCTGCCTATTAATCTGTGAACTTGATCAGGAGTGGCATGGGAGTTTTTTCATGTATTATTGTTGTTTATATTTGTTCTGATCGTTTTATCAATTTTTGTACTCTCGTTAATCCTATGCCTAATCTTCGATATATAATTACCGTAGTTAATTGCCTGGATAGTTAAGCCGACTTTCTGATTATGCATCATTGATATTAATAACCAAAAGTGCTGTTTCCTTTTTCTTTTTTCCCCCCTACCCGAGCAGGTTTGGTCACTTGTCTTGCTTTGCTTCTGACCTGGAGTGCTTTTCTTCAACGTTGACCCAAATTGAGAGAGCTGAGATATTGGGGAGATTCATTGAAATTTCTGAATCTTCTAAACTTTCGCCATTAAAAAAGTTGGGCCAGGCTATTACAATTTTTAAACTTGATGAGGTTTTTGGCTTCTTGACAGTGCTCCCTGTTGAAGGTATTTCGTTGTACTGTATGGTCATTCATATTGGAATGCCATCTTCTTTTATTTAAATAAGTATTTTCCGACGTAGCTGTTAGCCATACTTCTCTTAGTTAAAACTATTTATCCAATCTTCTTTACTCTTCTTCCTTTTTGATGTAAGTAACTTGAAACAAAAACACAGAGAGAACAAAGAAATTCAAGACTAGCTCTTTAGAAATTTAAGACACCACTTGGAGAACAAAATAGGCTAAATAAACAACTAAATTTCAGAATAGAAAAGAAGCGATCATCCAACAAAACCAAAGCAAAAGAAAGATAACAAAAGAAACAAACTAAAACAAACAAAAACTATCCTCAGAACATCCTACTAGAGGACTCCTCACATGCACCGATTGTGGGAATATATATTTCAGATAATGTTTAGATATGCAAATCAAAGGGTCCACCACTGCAAAGGGGTCCAACGTCCTACCAAACTCTTCAAGCAAATGCCACCAAAACAGCCAACAAACTTTACCAACGGAACTAGAAGAATGATACAGGTGGAGTGGAACTTGCGGAGAGGCGAAGAGATTAGAAGCCCGAGAAGAAAGGTTGGAAAGAGCCCGCAGGATTTCCGGAGGGGATGAGAAAGAAGACGGACAAAGCTCGCAAGCTTTTCCAATAACCCGCAGGTCAATAGCAATTTTGCTCACAATAATTCACCACCCAATTCATCTCCAAGCATCTCATATATATAGGCAATAGGGGAGATACTTAACATCCCAAAAACCCCTCAAATCCCATATAAAAATAATAGAAATGAAAGGCCAAAAGTCACCTTGCATGATATCCCAAGAGTCACTGCCATTTCCAAGCAGAACAAGGCCACTGAACCAGCAAAATACAGAGCCAATGCCACGGTTTCAGCACAGGAAACCAGGAGTTTTTTGTTATAGAAATCCAAAACGGCACAACAATTCTCAAGGAGGAGGCTACGGTTTCAACAGCCAAGCACAGGAATCCAACAGGTAAGTCACGATTTTCAGCAACCAAACAGCCACCACTTTTAATGAGAGAAAGGGGACCACGGGACAGAGAAACCGAAGCAATTCATGGGAGGAAAACCAGCAGAAAACCACAGCAGCTCAAGAGGCAACAGGAAGAGGAAAAAGCAAGTTCCACTCACCCAAAAGCTTGCACACTTCAACTTTAATTTCAGAGCTAAACATCAGCTCATAATGAGCTACACCACTACTTGATAATATTGAGCTGGCACCACTAGAATTTCAACAATTTAAGCTCAAACCGAAAACAGTCAAGGCCCACCCGAAATCAGAAAATAGCCCCAAAGGACAAGTTGGACCCCAAAACCGGCAAACCCAAGGCAAGCCTAAACCAGACCTTTTCCTACCATGATCATTGGATTTACCACCATCATTGAATAGCATAAAAATAAAACAAAAATAGAAAATATAACTAATATTGTTCAAAACAAAAATAATGCAAAAATCTAAATGCATCACTTTTTCTGAATCCCACTGCAGGTTTATCTAGTTTAGATATACTTTGACTTTGTTTGCTAAAGTGTTTTTTTTTTAATTTCTGAATATATACACTATTATGCACTGACACATCTCCTCAAAGAGACATGCAATGTCCGACACGTATCCGACATTACATGCATCCGACACTCTTCCTACACATGGTCGACACGCCGAAAATTTGTCCAATTTAAAAAATATTAAATGCAAATTCGATATGCGTGTCTTAAATAGTTTATTATTATTATTTTTTAATTTCTTGTATTTAAAATATAAAAACCAAATTTCTTATTTCCTATCCACAAAACTAAATCAATCACTCGCACTCAATGCCTCATTTATCGAATATTCTCATTTTCATTTCTTTTTTACTGTTTGCAACTTTGGTTTCACAATAATGTTCGATGTCATCTCAACATCGACATCTGATGTCGTTACAACATCAACATTTCAAAACTATCTTCACATCAAAGTTTGACACTGTCTTGATATTGATGCTCGACGCTAGCAAATTCTACTCCCACAACTTGACAGCTCATCTTTGTGCGATGTTGTCCTAACATCGACGACCAATACCCTCTCAACATCGACAGCAAAAGCCTTTTTGACATTGAATACTTATTTCATTACATCAATGCCTAACTTTCAACATCATTATTGTCTCCTCTTTCGATGCCTGATACACGACATCGATGTCTGACTCTTGACATTCTAATATTTATCATTTTAGCATAAATTATAGTTAAATGACTTGTTATTCTTAAATTATTTTTAATTTTATACATATTCAATTTTTATACACTTTTTAATATATAAAAATTATAATATCGTATCCAACCTGTATCCGTGTCTTATAATTTCAATATTTAACGTGTCCGGTGCCCATGTCGTTTCGTATTTGTATCACCGTGTCCGTGTCTGTGCATCATAGATATACATACATACATACTGTTAAAAAATCAGCAAAATTAGGCTATGATCCCACCACGTGGGCCAACTACATTAATTTTTTTCCTTGATTTTTTCTAATTAGGAATCAAAATGTCATTTAAATATAATAAAAAAGTTCATTTCTAATATTTTCTTATCAAATCTTTTTAGGTCTAATTAGTTTGTAAGAGTCGTTTTTATTTTATAAAAGTTGTAATTTGTCTAGTTTGTCATATATTTGGGAATTTTGTGTATTTTCTATTACCTAGGAAGCGTGTGTTTTACTTGCAAAAATTTGTGGTTTTTTCCCAAATTTTTGCTTGCATCAATTAGCAAGGCAGCCACACATATGCATCTTCCAAAGTATCAACCGATTCTTGATTCTTTTGTACATCTTAATTGATGAAGTAGTAATCAATGAGGCAGCTTGTTCATTTGAATGTGCTTCATGATCCTAAACATTTAATTTTCGTGGATTTACATGAGCCGTGAAGCAATTTGAGTAAATGTGGCTAAAAATACTATAGATAGTGGAGGATGCCTTCAAATTCAAAGTTTTATAGCAACCAGAAGACAATATCTTATTCTACACCTCATTATTAAGAGGAGAGGTAACATCCATTATATCCAAGTGCTTGGCCACTGATGGCCTAAAAAACGGGCAGTTGACAAAAAATAGATATCAAAGAGTATAAAATCGATTTTTGGTAGAAATATAAATGTAACCTAGGAAAAGCCGTTCTTTCAAAGATATAGATGGTTCCTCGAAATAATCAAAATGGAATGAACACTTAAGCATTCTCAGCAAAAAGTCATTGATGCAGTGTTTACGATGAGAAAAAAAGCTTGGCTTACTCCTGTGAATGTCTGTTAATAATATGGTGGTGACTTAGAATTCATCTGTCAATTTCAAATCTGATATGAACTTGTTATTTATATACATGTTGGAAGAAATCTAATAAAAGTTTCCAACGACTGTGGAAGAGAATGATTGAGCAAGTTAAGAGATCACAACATTCATAATAATAAGCATAGATTTGTCTTGTGTTTATCTAAATGAGAATATGAGGTTTAAATGAAAAAAAAAAATTTGGTTTGCATGGATGAAGGTGAGCATGTCAACGCACCAACCACATTAGCAAAAGAGCGAGAAGTGCAAGCATAATGTGGGCTCCGAAAATTCGGCCCCGGCCTCCCCGCCGCTGTTCTTTTTTATTCGGCGAGGGAGTTTTAACTGAATAAGTTCCATGGTAAATTTTGGAAGGCAGATGAGTTTGTAGATAAGACACTTCCCAGAGATTTCGCCCTCATTTTGTGAGGACTTTATGATCTGAGTTCTGGTTTCCTATAGGCGCAAGCCCCTATAGTTAATTACCCCTCTCGATCATGAGAGAGAACTTTCGATTAAGGCTAGTCGTCAATCAGATACGTAGAGATACATGTTATCTGGCATATAGTAGCAGCAATGGGTTTAAGATTTTGGAATTCTGAAAATTTGGATGTTTGAGAATTTGAAGGTTCATATGTTTGGATTTGGAATTTGGGAAGTTTGAATATTTGGATATAGTTGATATTTAAAACAGAAATGGCACCATCTTGCACTTAAAGCGTATGATGGGGGAATGAATGATGGACCCGATCAAGATCCCATGGTTCCGTCGTCCCGGGCCATCGTGGTCTCTGGTCTACTTAGTCAGAGGAGGTAGTCGACCCAACCTGATAGAAGGATCCTTGTCGGCAGTCATGGGTTGCTTCGTCCAAGGGAACCTTGTAGACCGGGGTTTAATATTTGTCTAAGGGGACAAATTTGAATCCACCTTAGCTAACATATGGCTTTGTGCCTATAGAATATACCCTATGATCCATCGCTCAAGGGTTTGACGCCTTTAGGGAACATACGGGCTTT